AGATTCTGTATTCGAATCAAATCTCCTTAATTTTAGCATTACACCTACCACATATACATACAATAAGACGTATTATTAGTAATGGATAAATGATAATTGATTTCTAGTGATGGTCCATTTAAAAAAAAATCAAACATGAAGCAAAGTTGTCACTTCTGTTTTAATATATAACTAGTTCTTGACCCGTACAATCGTGCGGGTGATTATTTTTATTTTTACCCACATAATTATTTATTTTACATGATTAATTACAATATTTATCATATTATTAATTGTTTAATCTATATTATTAAAACACAATAATTTTATAGTTCACATGCAATAGTTTTATTTATGTATTTGTTTTAATTTTTCAGTGATAACATATTTTCGATCATATGATACAAAATTCTAAATTGAAATTATTTTTGGTAAATCAAAAATTAATTGATAGTTATTATATTAAATTTAATACATAAATTTATATGATTTTATTTATAATTAAAAATTAGATATTTAAAATTTTTATTTTAGTCAAAATGAAATATAGGTTTAATTTTAAATAATCACAAAATTAACTAAATTTTTTTTAAGAAAGTAAGTAAAAATGAAATATACAATTAAATAAATAAGAAATTAATTGACTATTTTAAAGGTTTATTTTAATAAAAATGAAATATATTTACACTGTAAATAAAAAGATATGAAAAGATTTTATTCAGATATTTTTTTCAGAGAAAATATAAGAATATCTATTTGATTTATTGTATTAAAATCATTCAAATAATTCATATGTTTATACATAATATAATTTAAATAATATTTTAAAAGTTGGTCCAAACTAAAAAAAAATCACAGATAAACTAAGTCTTGACTTTTGTTTTAATATATAAGATTGAAAATTACATTAGTTGAAATATTTACAAACGTTGGTCAGATATAAAAAAATGATATATTCCAGACACCTGAGTATATTCTCCAGTATGTTTTCAGTTACATCCTATATCGTTCTAGTCTATTCCATAAGGTTATGTAGTATACCATATCAGATTATCTGCGTATTAAAAGGTGGATTACTAAAGAAGAGTAACCTACTACATTCAGGATGACGTCGGCAAGCATATATGACGTCTGACTGAAATTAATGTGCAATATTGGAAAACAGCTATTCCATATTAAGGAAGAGGGTGAAGCCACGTAAATTGTTAGAGTTAGTAAATATCTTTTAACTTTGCACAGGTAATCTAGTGGACTAAATTAAAACTTGTGTCATTAAAACATATCTTCCATCTAATTACCAACGTCAATCAGGCTGAAGAATTGCAAAAGGAAGAAGGTGAAGAAAATTTCCTAGTATCTGGGTTGACAAAAGATAAGGTAAATTCCACTCAGATTAATTGCAATGGAAGGAGTTTCATATAGAACTGAGTCATCTGCCATAGAATAAAATTTTATATCTTATATTATGGAATAGATGTAGATGAGTAACTTAATCTTTTCATTTCAGTGGATTCAAACCCTGTCGCGAACAATCTACTTGGAAGGCCCAACTCGTTCATGTCAGACCTAAACAAAAAACCAGGAGAACACATTAATAGAGATTAGATATACAATGATGTAATAAAATTAACCATGGGGGTAAAGTGAAGCAGGCTGGAACGGAACAAAACGCAACTCAAGAGACTCTGAGATACGTTATTTTTACATATCTGAATCATAAAGTGTTTTGTAAACTGAATCATAAAGTGTTATATTCAATCGAGTTCACATAAGAAGAAAAAAATGTACAAAAAATGTGGTCTGAAACACTATCTATGTATATATGTACCAGCTTAATAATATATATATATATATTACTCCATTCCAATTTCCCAAATGACATATACCTAAATTCTATTATATGTTCGTGGAATGGAATAGATGAACATGAAAAAAATATATAACATAATACTTATTAGTTAAATTAACAAATTATTTGGATACTAAACTCTAATCTCCAATAGATATACATTCCAATCTATGTAACATATAAGTCCATGCCAATCCATCCAAAAAGGTGTAGACATACATTCCATTAAATGTACATGGAATGAAATATAAATACATTTGGATACTAAACCCTAATCTCGAATAAGTTAACCCTAAACCCAACAGAACGACTAAACACTATACCCTAATCTCTAATAAGTTAACCCTGAACCAAAAGCTAAACCAGAAAACGCAATTATAAATCCCAACCTTTTCACATGGAATGGAAGAAAGCGCAACTCAAAAGAAAACCATAAACAACATAGAAAACAACCAGGAGACAGAATAATAAGATGACCAATAACAGATGGTAATGTTTATCCCACCACAACGACTAAATACTAAACCCTAACCTCAAATAAGTGAATCCCAAAGCAATATGTAAACACTAAAACCAAATATCAACCCTAAAACCAAATATGAACCGTAAAAGCATATATAACTCTACATCACATGGAATGAGAAATATATAACATAGTAGTTAGTAGTTAAATTAACAAATTATTTGGACAGTAAACCCTAATTTCCAATAGATATACATTCCATTCTATGTAACATATAACTCCATTCCAATCCATCCGAAATGGTATAGACTGACATTCCATTCTATGAACATGGAATGGAGTAGATATACATTTGGAAACTAAACCCTAATCTCGAATAAGTTAACCCTAAACCCAACAGAACCACTAAACACTATACCCTAATCTCTAATAAGTTAACCCTGAACCAAAAGCTAAACTAGAGAACGAAAATATAAACCCCAACCTAAACATATAAACTTAAAAACGCTACATCACATGGAATGGAACAAAGCGCAACTCAAGAGAAAACCGTAAACAACATAGAAAACAACCGGTAGACAGAATAATAAGATGACCAATAACATATGGTAATGTGTATCCCACCACAAAGACTAAATAGTAAACCCTAATCTCAAATAAGTGAACCCCATAGCAGTATGTAAATGCTAAAACCAAATATGAACCCTAAAAGCACATATAACTCTACATCACATGCAATGGGAAAATATATAAGATAGTACTTAGTAGTTAAATTAACATATTATTTGGATAGTAGACCCCAATCTCCAATATATATACATTCCCTTCTATGTAACATATACCTACATTCCAATCCATCCGAAATGGTATAGACCGACATTCCATTCTATGTACATGGAATGGAATATGTATTTATTTGGATACTATACCCTAATCTCCAATAAGTTAACCCTAAACCCAATAGATCCACTAAACACTATACCCTAATCTCAAATAACTTAACCCTAAACCAAAATCTAAACCAGAAAATGCAAATAGAAACTCCAGCTTTTCATGTAAACTCCACATCACATGGAATGGAATGCGCAAGTCAAGAGGAAACCGTAAACAACATAGGAAACATCCCAAATTTGGAATTTATATTCCATTGTACTTGGAATGGACCAAAACCGTATGGATCTAGTTATGACAACTAGAGAATTTACATGCAGTTGGCAAGACATGGAAGAAGGACGAACATGATATAAATCTTGAATCCAAAGGTTTGTTTCCGTTTTAAATTTAGACGGCATGATGAGTAACAGAGCCGCAAATTTAGGAGGATGAATTTAGATTTAAGAAAAGGAGAACACATTAATTTCGACTACAAACTAGGAAAACAATTGACAATAAGAGGATTCTGAACAAAAGGGGAGATAACTAACATTTTGGGGATGCGGACTTGAGACAGAGGAAGCTTCAATTGAAGTACCGGAGGAGATGTGGAAGATGAGTACACCGACGGAGACGATGAATTTGGCAGAGAAGAAGACGGTTGGGAGTGAGTAAGTTGTGTTGTTCTTCGAGACCTCTGGGGTGGGCCGAGTACGACGAGGGACACAGTTCCTCTGATTTTGGGGGAGAAGAAAACGAACGGTTTGTAGGGATGAAGTGGTCATGTTGTCGATGTCGGAGACGGTTGGAATGCAGAGAATTAAGTGGGAATCGTGAAACAATTGGTGGAGAGTGGTAAGACACGATTTACGGGGAACCAATTGAATTATTTAAGAAAAAAATTTAAAAAAATTTGAACCGGTGAAAGCGGTTGAATTGAGGAAGAATATTGTAATAATGTATAAAAGTAACGGGGTGAGGGTTTCCGTCAGGATTTTTAGCTACTGACCCAATTATCTTTTTTTTCTATGGCTAAAGGGCCTTATTTCCCTACTATTTACCAAGCAACGTATTTCCTTGCAAAATATTGCAAATAAAACCCTCTTGTCTCGCATTTTCTTACAATTCCGATACAATTATCCCTTTTTCATTTTGACCCACGATGTTTGAATTGCTGATGACAACTCCGATTGGATGGACTTTGACTCAGGTTATGCATCTTCGTTATCTTCTTTTGCTTAGTTTAATCACATTTGCTTAACAACTAGTGTTGGCATGACATTGACATTTTTCATTTTGTTTTTTTTTGGTCTTAGTAACAGCAACTTTGTCAGTTTCGGTCTTTTCCTCAAGTCTATCCAAGCTGAACTAGGTTACAACTTTATTTGTTGAATGCTTAGATCAGGGATTCTCTATTAGCAAAAATTTTAATGAAAAAACTGATGAACCTTCTTGGCAAGATGCTAAACAACGCCACACAATATCATATAATATAAATGCTTGGCCAAAGTACAAGATGCTGTCAACGGCACTCATATCATATGACTACGAGTATTTTTTTGACTTTGCATGCCATAATGAGTTTTATTATCTGAGTCTAAAAGTTAAAAAAATAGTTATACCTCTCAGGCTACTACACATGTCACATCACATGGCTTTTGAGTTTCTTTCGCATGTCACATGGCTTTTGCGGTTTTACTAACAGAGACTTCCACTCTATGAACACAAATTTATTTCCAACAACTTTGGTATGGAAAGTTGAATGCTTATAGTAATAGGTGCAGAGATCTTTGCTTCTGAGTTTCTTTCATTTGCTGTTTTTGTATAAAATTTGCAATGGAAGGAAAGGTGTTTTTGGGTCAATACTTGATATGGATGATGGTACTGTTGGGGCAGCTACACGGATACAAAGGCTGTATTCAGAAAGAAAGGAACGCTTTATTGGAGCTCAAGCACTACCTTATCTCCATTTCTGAAAAAGGACAACCTGACTATATTCTCCCTACTTGGACTAATGACACAAAGAGCCATTGCTGCCGCTGGGAGGGCGTCAAGTGCAGTCGTACAAGCAGACGTGTGACCAAGATTGCTTTTGGTGATTTGTATCTCAAAGAGAATTCTTTCTTTAATCTTTCTTTGCTGCATCCCTTTGAAGAGGTTCGAAGTCTAGACTTTTCCGAGTGCGCTTTCAGTGCCTTGTTTGATGATATGGAAGGTATATGTCTATGTCTTAACACTATGGAACTTTCCCTGCATCAATAGGTTACTGTATTCCACTTGCATGCAGAGTAGATTAGAAGTTTTCATTGAACCTATTGAAGTGTTTAGGGTGGACTATCTTATTTTTAGATTCTTTGTTAATAAGATTATAGCTTTGCAGGTTATAAAAGCTTAAGTAGATTAAGAAACCTAGAGACAGGGCCGACCCTGAGATTTTGGGAGCCTATGGCGATTTCTATGTAAAAAAAATTATTGGGGGCCTAAAAATTTTTTTAGGGACTTATACTCATGTAATTTTCTACAAAATTTTTGGGAGCCTGAAACAAATGGTATTGTCCAGGGCCGGCCCTGCCTGGAGATTCTGGATTTCTCTTCAAATGAATTCAGCAACAGCATCTTTCCCTTTCTTAACGCTGCTATTTCACTTACAACTCTGTTTCTTGGGTTCAACACGATGGATGGCCCTTTTCCTGTTAAAGGTGTGTTTCTCCATTTGTGCCAGGTCTACTTATTGCTGATGTATCTTTGGTCAGATCGTTTTCTTTTTGTATTGTAGCCTCTTTTATTTTCTATGTTCTGACTGCATTTCTTATATTCTCCTAGACTCCCTTTCAGAACTGAGAAACTTGTCAAACTTGGAACTGCTGGATCTGAGTGGAAATGGATATAATAACAACTCCATGCCAGGTAGCACCTACGTCTGTTTTTTGTTCTTCAGGGTAGACCTTAAACAGATTTAACTTGTGCCTAATTGTTGCATTAGTTTATGCCATCTTGGAGATCATTCTATCCATAATAATAACATGTGTCTTGCTTTATGTCTCTTTGTCCCGTGGCAGAGTTTACTCACCTGAAAAATCTCAATGCTCTGGATCTAAGTGCTAACTACTTTTCTAGCTCAATGGAATTGCAAGGCAAGCTATCTTTTTAAATCTCTTTTCCTTTGCTTTTATATACTTTGTTTCCGAACTGAAGTATATGACTAACTTGAAAGTAAAGAACTCTATGGACCTTAACTGATAAAAGTTTCCTGTGTTTGCTTCCACTTTCAATATTTTCCATAACATCTTTGAACTATGTTTCTGCAGTCGTTTGTGGAATGAAGAATCTCCAGGACCTCTACCTCCATGGAAATTACTTTGCCGGCGAGCTACCTCTGTGTCTTGGTAGCTTGAACAAGCTACAGGTTCTTGACCTTTCACTAAACCAATTAAGTGGAACTCTACCATCTAGTTTCAGTAGCCTCGAGTCCCTCGAATATCTGTCATTATCAGATAACAACTTCACAGGCTTGTTCTCCCTCAGCTCCCTTGCCAACCTCACAAACCTCAAGGTGCTCAAACTTTCATCAACATCTGATAAGGTCCAATTAGACACAGAGAGTACCTGGCTGCCTAAATTTCCACTAAGTATTGCTTCTCTACCTTTCTGCGGCTTGAAGAAGATCCCAAACTTTCTCATGTACCAGAAGAAGTTGCATCTACTTGATCTATCCAGCAACAGAATATCCGGAACAGGAGCTTCCTGGCTCTTGGCTAATAATCCAGAACTTGAAGTTGTACAGCTGCAGAATAACTTATTCACTGTCTTCCAGATTCCTACAATAGTCCATAAGTTGCAGTTCTTGGATTTTTCAGAAAATAATATCAACGGAGTAGTGCTCCCTGATGGTTTTGGACATGTGCTTTCAAATCTGGTACATATGAATGGCTCTCATAATGGTTTACAAGGGATGTTTCCATCTTCTTTTGGTGAGATGAAGAACATATCATTCCTGGACTTGTCTCATAACAATCTCTCTGGAGAGATACCTAGAAGTTTATTCACTGGCTGTTATTCATTACAAATTCTTCACCTTTCTCACAACAAATTTACTGGTCATGTTCTTCCAAGACAGACGAACCTAACATCATTGGTAGTGTTGTGGATGGATAACAATTTATTCACAGGGGAGATCGGTAAAGGTTTGCTTACCCTGGTTAACTTGTCTGTACTTGACATGTCAAACAATTTTCTCAGAGGTGATGTTCCAAGTTTGATACCAAACTCATCTGATAATATGTTTATTTTATTGTTATCAAACAATCTCTTAGAAGGTACGATACCGTCTTCTCTCTTGGCTAATCAACATCTCAACTTTCTTGACCTCTCTGGGAACTTATTATCCGGAGCCTTGCCGTCATATAAAAGTTCTATGTATGGGATAAAGTTGTTCTTACATAACAACAACTTCACAGGGGAGATACCAAGAACATTGTTGGAAAATGCTGAGATACTTGATCTGAGGAATAATAAACTCTCTAGGAGTATCCCACAGTTTGTCAATACCATGGACATGAGAATCTTTTTGTTGAAGGGTAATAACTTAACATGATCTATTCCAAGGGAGCTGTGTGGTCTGAAAAACATTGGAGTTTTAGATCTTTCAAACAACAAGCTAAGTGGAGGCATACCTTCTTGCCTCCATAATTTATCAATTGGATCAGGAGAGTATGAGGAGGTGAGGAATGGAGTCTCTGAGGCATATGGCTTTGTACTAAGCCTTCATTGGGAACTTTACAGATCAACATTTGTGGTGGATGAGTTCAAGTTAGACTATGAAACATATATGAGTTTTGAAATCCAGTTTGCAGCAAAGCAAAGGTATGATTCATACACTGAAGAGTCTGAGTTCAGTAGAGGAACACTTGATTTTATGTATGGTTTGGATCTTTCTAGCAATGAGTTAAGTGGTGTTATCCCATCAGAGCTTGGAGAACTATCGAAACTACGAGCCATGAATCTATCTCGGAACTTCTTGTCGGGCTATATACCGGATAACTTCTCAAAACTGAAGGATATTGAGAGTCTTGATCTTTCTTAACAAACCTCACTTCTCTTGCTGTCTTCAACGTCTCCTACAACAATTTATCAGGTATCATTCCCCAAGGAAGGCAATTTGACACATTCAACGATATGAGCTACTTAGGGAATCTTCTTCTTTGTGGATTACCAACCAAGAGAAGTTGTGAAGAAGCTAAGAAGAGGACAGAGGAAGTTGATAACAGAGGAGAAGAAGATGATGATGAAGAAGCTGATATTGACATGATGGTCTTCTATTGGACTAGTGCATCAACTTATGTGACTGCGTTGATAGGTATTCTTGTCCTTATGTTCTTTGATTGTCTTTGGCGTCGAGCATGGCTCCGCCTTGTTGATGCTTTCATCACCTCTACAAAAAAATGTGTGTGTCTTAAAATTATTTTAGCTCAGTTCTTGTATTTCTCATCAAGCAAACTATTGAATCCACTGACTCTCTGTAAGTGAAATGTACTGAGACTTTCTGTTTAGTTACTGAAACAAACAAAAGTTTCCCTATATTAAAGCTACAACAGAAGCTCTGTTCTTCAAGTCTATTCACTTGTTTAGCAGTATTCAAAGGTTGGAACATAGAATAAGGCCTATTCACAAGCTTCTTGCTAAAAGAATAGTGATTTTGCAGGAAGATAAGTATGATTAATTCCTTAATTATTTCCTGGTATAATCTGGCAAAAAGTCTTATTAGGATGGGAATTTTTATTTTCTATGATTTAATTGACTAACATATGATAATATAATTATATAAAGCTTGCTTGAAGTATAAGATGCTGACTGACCACGCCGCATACATAATCTTATGGTTATAACTATTTGCTGCAAAGACTTTGAATTAGTTTAACAGGATTTGAAACAGAGACTTGACCTTTGTTTAATGTACAAATATTTCTTGTAGAACTTGGTTTTGACTAGTTATATTCTTACATACAGAAACCTTGATTACTTTATGAAGGTAGAAGAAGTATTTGCATTGAACTCAGAGTCCTTTCTCTTGGAAATTTCTTCATTTACTTGAAACAAAAAAGAAGCTTATTTGCAATGGAGAGGAAGGTGTACTTGATATGGGTGATGATAATAGTGTTGGGACAGATACATGTATACAGAAGCTGCATCGAGGAAGAAAGGAAGGCTTTCTTGAACAGAATAATTCTTTTACAAGCTTTCAGCTGCCAGAATCTGCTCATAATCTGCTTTTCTTGGATGTGTCAGTGAATGACTTCAATCATAACTTTCCTGTTAACATTGGGTGGATACTTCCTTCTTTACGATATATAAATATATCGAATAACGGTTTTCATGGAGATCTGCCACCTTCTCTAGGTAATATGAAAGGTATTGAGTTTCTTGATATGTCTCACAACAGTTTCCACGGGCAGCTACCAAGAAGTTTTATACAAGGTTGTTATTCACTGAGTATTTTGAAGATGTCACATAACAAACTAAGTGGAGAGGTTTTGTCAATATCAACAAACTTTACTGATATAGTGGTGCTGTTAATGAATAGCAATCAATTTACAGGAAAGATCGGTCAAGGTTTGCGCAACATGCAACACTTGTTACTACTTGACATTTCAAACAATAGTCTTTCAGGTGTTATTCCAAATTGGATTGGTGAACTTCATCTAAGTGCACTATTGATTTCAAACAATCTGCTGGAAGGTGAATGATATTACGTGCGAACGCACACTAATTAACCTAATGTGCACACTATCACAATCGAATGGTATGTCGATGTAACACTTAAGGATCGAATCCACAGAGACCAAATATTACACTTTATTTTTATAAGATCAATTTCAAGCTAAAACGATAAGTTTTGTAAAGAAGCAAATAGTGAGAAACAAATAATTAAAATGGGTTTTAATTTCAGGATATAAGGATGTCAACCTAGGGTATCTCATTGGGTGTCA